GGATAAGCTGTAATGACGTGATCCCAAGAAATTTTGACCTTATTATTTTTTCCCCCAAATTTGATGTGATTAAGCGAAGAAATATTCTCGCGTCGTCCGTTTACACTTCAATCCAGAAAATTCAGACCTTTACCATTTTAATATATACTACAAAAGCCTGTATTAAAAACCTAGTCTCTACAAACGGATAAAATTCAATTTGGGGATTTTGAGCTGAGAAGAAATGGGTGGACGTCCATCTGTCCATCAAAAATCAATCCACGATTTCACTGTTAAGGTTGGAGTTTGATCCCCATTTTTTCTTTTGTGCGTGTAATTATGCGTATACTAGTGTGAATCGGTTTTGTGGAAATTTTAATAATTGTGTGAATATTTTGCAGGATGCTAAGGGTAAAGATGCGGACTTGAGTGTATACAAAGGGAAAGTTCTACTTGTCGTCAATGTTGCTTCCAAATGGTTCCTCGTCTTCTTCTTCTTGTTTTTATTTAATGATTTTCGTTCAGTGTTTGCTTTCAATCAGTGAAATTTTCCTTTTTGTTGCTGGATTTGATGGGGTTCTGATTGTTTATGTATTTGATTGGCTAAACCAGCGGATACACGAATTTGAACTACACCCAGTTGACAGAACTTTACAGCAAGTATAAGGATAATGGTCACTCCCTTTTCTCTTTACATCTTTTATCTTTAGATTTAATTCAGCTATTTAAATGCAAGACCCATGAATAATTTTACTGTTATCTGTGATTATTTTAATGTTTTGATGCTGTAATATAAGAAGTCTCATGATAATTTCTCCCCTGATCTGACAAATTGGCCAATGTCAAGCTTAAATTTATGAAAAAAATGGTCATTGTCTGTATTTGATTCCATCATCCCAAAATTTCTTTTATGGAAAACATGTATAATATATTTTAGTATCAGGTTTTGAGATCTTGGCATTCCCTTGCAATCAATTCTTGTATCAAGAACCTGGGTCGAGTGAGGATGCAGAACAGTTTGCTTGTACAAGATTTAAGGCTCAATATCCCATCTTTCAAAAGGTAAATGGTATCATGACAAGTTCTGTTTGAATTTTTCTTTTGATGCTTCTTGCAGAAAGTATTTGTTGTCTGGCAGGTTGAGCGATCTGATTATAAACTTGAATTGTGTTATTTGGTTCTTTTCTTTGTTTTGTTGGAAGTTGGTAGAAGGGATGTGTAGATTCTATTGAGTTATCTTTTTATATGCTTCAATTGTGCTATTTGGTTCTTGCCTTTGTTTTTTGGTAGTTGGTAGAAGCGATGTGTAGATTTTATGGATTAACTGTTGCACATAGTTACTCAAAAATGCAATTTATGTCATTATGTTAGAATTTAATCCTATTCAAATTTACTTCTTCTGGAAGGATTAAGGAAACCAGATATATGCAACTGCCTCAGTCTAATAATTTTTATTATTGCTCTCTCTATCATCATTTTTTTGGGATTATATCTCTTAGACTTGAGATCTTTTTCAGATATACTCCAGAAATTCACCAGCCATTTAAGGCTTCATATCCTTAATACATCCACCCAACTTTTCCTTTGGCACGGTGGTGTTGTGGGTTGGTGTGTTGATAGAAAGCATCCCTCTTTTATCCTTCTTGACCAAACTCGCCAAAAATTCAGAATAAAAAAAGTTGTTCTAGCTGCCCGATTAGTGTTAAAGACATTTATCCGAGGAGGAGGCTTCTTCATCTGGTTCCTCAAATAAAGATGTTAGGATTGGCCGGCTCATCAGATATGTATTGAGTATGATCATTATTTTTTGAGTGAGAGGACCATTGTTTTGAGGGAAAGAAAGCATGGTTTTCCATTAGACTGTAGTGGTTGATCTGCATTCTCCTCATCCTCATGTACAAATCTACCCGTAGCATAGATTTGATCAATCTCCACATTTCTATCCATTAAGTAGGTTTTCCCTTCGCAATCATGAAATGTGAAATCCAAGAAGCTTTGCCTGGAGGGAAAGAACAAAACCTGATTCATCTAAATTTGATATTATTAGATACTTTTCCATACCTTTAGCTGATACTAAGTAGCAAACAAAAAAATGCATCCATTTTTCACGATATTATGCACAAGGAAATTTTCCTTTAATGGTCCTATCTACCCATTGTAAAATTTGTTTGTTTGTTTGGTTTTTGTTTTTTTTTTTTTTGATTTTTTTTTTTAGAAAAATGCGTTTAAAAGATCATAGGAAATCATAGTTTCGTAGTTGTGTGATATGAATTTGTTGTAGATAACATTGCTTTCCATCAATGTGTTAAATATTCTGTTGCCCCTACAATTGTTTATTCATGAATTTACTGTCAATTTCTACTGGTAGGTAAAAGTGAATGGTAAAGATGCCGCTCCAGTCTA